AATACTAGACATGAAAGTACATACCAGTATCTCGTAATAATTTAATTGGGACTATTTTTGAGATAAGAGACTGGTTGCCTTCCAGAAGAAAATTATATGTTTAAGTGTTGTTGTATTATCTGATAACCTGATAAAGGAAAATTGTTGGAGGTTTCATTGCATTCTATGAAAAAACATCTAATGACAGTTTAAGTAACTTAAAAAAAAAAATAATTAATATTTTGCTGCAGACTTTATCATTTCAGAAAGCTTAAGGTACAAAATACTTTATGAAACAGCTAAACATGTTCTCTCAGCGCTTTTGAGTAATCACATAGTGGTAAGTTGCATTCAGCTTCTTGCACAGAAGAGATGGTCTGAGCAGAAGGATCACCTTTGTCAGAAAAGTGTCCTATAGTGTACATAACATGTTTTATTTGAGTCTAAACAAGTGAGTGCAGTAGAGATGAGGAAGAACTTCAGCCAGCAGCTTTTGAAAAGAACTATCTGGTCTTGTGCTACGTGTAAACTGTGGATCTTAGCATCACCTGGCTAAGGCCATTGTTCTTATTTATTTCCTGTAAACATGTCCTTGTTTCATCTTCAGTGTATAGAAATGCCATATAAAATATCATCTTTATTTTAGGTACTGTGTTAGGCACTGGTATCATTATCACTGGTAGTAGAAAAAAAAAAACCACCTTTGTGGAAATGGAGTTGAATCTAAGATGGTAAAATAATTAATTTAAATTTTCAGGCGTCTGTAATGTACGTCTCCATTAAATCTACTTCTCAGTTTATTTTGTGACGGGCAAAATTAAGAAGCAATGGTTTTCCCAGATGGAAAAGCATACTTGTACTTCTAAACAAAATGGTTACTTCCACTCATGCAACTACTTGCACACTTTTATGAGTTCTGGGCGGTTGATACTTACTTAGTTGATGTATGGAAAACACTATCCATGCTAAAATAGGCATGTGACACACTTCTGAAATTAAGCTTCAGCAAATAATCGCACAAAATTAGCTTCCCTTATTGACTAAAAGTTATTTAACCTATACTTGCTTGAGATGCATATTAAGACTTCCCCACTCCATTTTCTCAGTGGCTTACCATTGGTGGTGATCTGCATTCAATCTCCATCAGTGTTTGCTCTTATGGACTACTATAGAGGTTTTCAAATATATCCAAGTACTTCATTTAAACCCTGGTACACATGAAGGAGCTGTGAAAACAATGCAACTACTGATATAAAAAATGCATTCAAAGTTTTAAATTGACTTGTGTAATACAGTGGGTAAGAAAAGCTGGATATAGTTTTCCTCGTATAGTGTTGCTAATGATGATTGTAAGAGGTAAATTAAACGTAGTGCAATATTTTTAAATATACTGAATGGGAAAAGGGCAAAATAGTTGTATTTTAGTGATAAGAAGGAAAACATAAATTCCTGTCTGGCATTAATTACAATAAACGGTGAATCTCGAGGGGAAAATTGTAATACTACATTCCTGATGTAATCTTTGCTTCATGCTTGACTGTAAATAGCTGAAAATAAAGAATACCACAGAAAACAAGAATATCTTGACTTAATGATATCTGAATAGGTGGCAGCTACACACATTTGCAGAAGATCTGCCTAATATGATTTTGTTGGCTATTATTTTATCATGAGAATAAGCTTTAATAAAATAGTTTTGCTAAATTATCAACTTCTTTGCATTGTGTTAATATTTTTTTAAAAAAAACAACTTCTATTGCAGTAGTTTATCATCTAAAGTCACTACTTAAAAATCTTTGGGAGGAAAAGCACACATTTTTGCACTAAAACCTACTGGTGGCTGGATTAATTGGGCTTTTAGGCATTCGTTCTATTTGCGTGTGCATTTATTTTTTATTCTACAGTTTAATAGTAGATGCAGATTTCTTTCAAAATGGTGATTCCTGTTGATTCTTTGTTTAGCTAGAGAATTTTATAAAATGCTAAGGATGTTTGTGGGTTTCCTTAAGACCTCCAAGCACTGCTGAACTAATACTGCTATTCTGTTATTGATAGATAGTTGATTACCACCAGTTACATTAGGGGAAAAATGATTCAAGAAAAATTCTTCTGACTTGCCCTGTCCTTCAAAGTGTTAATGGATAATAACTAAACAAATCTGGACTGATTACTAGCTCGTTTTTATCTAATCAGTTTATCCTTGGGGGTTTTTCCCTCAAATTTGAAATAAAACATGGATGGAAGTTTAAAACTACACAGGAGGACTAAATAGTGGGAGCCAGTGAACTAAGTGACTTTATCACACTTAAATCGATACAGATCAAAATATAAAAGAACCTAAATTATTCCAGAACAGAATGAGGGGTCTTTTGTCTATTTTCTGTGACTGAAGTTACTTCCTGACTGACAGCAAAAAGGGTTTGATTACTTATTCCTCCAAAAATCAAAAATGTAGAACAACTGCCAAGTATATATTTTTTTTGGGGGGGGGGGAATGTGGCATAGAGAGCCCAAACGTGGGTGTCTTTGCGGCTCTTAGTTCTGTCTTCCTCTAACTTCTGGTGGAGCAGGAGCGGAGCAAACCCCAGTAAGATGCTCATCTGTAAGGCCCCGGTGGAAACTTGGCTCCATCTGCAGAAAAGGAATGTGATCATTTCATCTGTCCTTGGGCCTCCTCTTCATACACCTTTTGTGTGGCAGGTTCCTTAATTTTGATGTGCTGAAAAGTACAAAACCAAGCCATGAAGTAAGCCATTCTATGCTTTTTTTTTTTAAAATATATAATTTGCTGTGTTTGCATCACTTTTATACTTGTGAATTTAGGGAATACAGTGGTTAATCAGCTGGTAAATAAATGACTATGATGAGTGATAATTTAGAATTCTAACATTGGTATATTAGTTTCAAATTTAATTGGATTAACAATTTGATGTTGACCAAGAGAGTTCAGTAAAGTGAATAAAATAACTTCTCTTGGGGCAGAGTTTCAAGTATCCATATGATCTACACCATTAAAATCTGAACCTAATGTAAATAATCTGCACAATTGTTACTTATTCAGTGGCTGTGAAGTACTCTGTCTCCAGGCACATCTTGGCTTTGAAGAAAGGGTTTCCATCTGTTATCTATTCAAAAGAATGCAACTGAAAATAGACCACTACAACAATCTGTAAGTAGACTTTTTTTTTTCTTCAGATCAACCCTAGGCTCTATTGCTTTGCCTTTCACACAATTTAAGCCTCTTAGGATGTTTTCTCAGAATCTTCACCCTTATTTAAAGAACATACAGGGGTGTCCCCTGGAGCTGCACAGTTTGGCCTTACCTCTTTCCCAAAAGTTAACTCTCAGAGCAGCAGCCACATGACAGACTGATTTTTGGAAGCTATCACAGTTACTTAACCAATTTGCATGTATTTATGACCTGGAGTGAAAATGTTTCAGTTAAATGGACTAGAAATGAGGGGCTTTTTCCCACAACCTGAAATATTTGTTGGCTTTTTTCCACCCCCACCTAGTATACAGTAAAACACAATGCAAAAGGCAAAACATGAGGGGGATTTTTTTATTATTTTTACTGTATTACAATAGATCATGAAGTTCTTTCAGATAACTTTATTTTAATGTGGTCTGAATGCATAATTATTGACAAAGCAATACTTAAAGTTTGATCCACTATATTTTTCATATTTTCTGACCATAGTATATACACTTTACAAAACTATATGTAAACATAGCATCTATACTGTGGTACATAAACATCTGCAATTGCATGAAAGAAGGCACATAAAGATTTTAATTTTACAAATGAAAAGATACCCCACGGTTAATAAGGACATTGGGATTGTTTTAAAACGCTTCTTTCAAAGTCTGATTTTTCTCAGCGCAGACAGGGACTCCCAATACCAGCACTTTACCTGTATTAGACTCTGTCCCCAAATGTTAAGAGATACTGGCAACAAACTGGTCTTTTTTTTTTTCATTATTTTTAGTAAAGTTGGTATTTACCTCACTTTTAAAAAATAAATATATATTGAATTTCTAGATATGTATGCAAATGCACATAAGTTTTTTGTTTGAACTGCTTAAGTTAATCAGCTTACTTTCAGTACATGCTAAGACTAAATACTGTGATACTGTAGCTTTTCTTAACCAGTCACTTAAGATGCATCTAAAATAAAGTTGAGATATGTTAAAAATAAAAGATTCAAAAGATAGAAATACAAAAAGTATCTTCATGCTGTTCTTACTCCCTTTAAGGGAAAGGAACAGTGCACATTCATACCTACTTGTTTACCCAGTGTGTGTTTTGGGGGCTTCGTAGCGCACAACTGGTTAACTAATTAAAATTTCATTAAATAGTACTGACTAATAGCAATACACTCATCTGTTTAAAATACTGTTTT